ATATATATATATATATATATATATATATTCAAATTTGTATAACCTGTTTTGTTTTAGGGCATGTGAAATATTCAATATTTTCAACAAATTTTATCATTAAAATAGAATATTAGGGGAAACAAATAAAATCTTTTACAAAGAATGAACAAAATCATTTTTATCATATATAATTGAGAAGTATTACGATGCACGAATTTATTCTTTTAAATATAACATTAACTACTTTAGTTGTTGGTTCCCTGTTATTACATGAATTATGGATTGCATTTGTGTTGGAACGAGTTCGCTATCATTAACCCATTTGCATTCGAGACCCAAATACACGCAACTAACTTCATAAATCCGAGATGCTCAACTGACGGTATCCGTAATGTTATTTATTTTATTTTACGTTGTAAAATAAAGACAATTTGAAAATAAAAATTTGTATTTAAATGATAAATTTGAAATGAAGCTTTCCCGGCGGCAGGAAACGTGTTGGAAGAACAATTAAAATAATCAAATTTATTGTTGATGCACTAATAGTTACAAATTACTTCACGTATTGTTCGTTAAATGCGTGCGGAATATGAATTAATAGTTTGCGTGATACTGAACTGTGAAATTCATACTTATAATGTTTCGTTTACCGTTATCAATACAATATTATGATTATTAGTATTATTACTACCTGTTGTCGGGTTACCATAGGTTCAACATGATTGATCATATACCACTTTCTTCTCAATATTCGTTTGTTTCAATAACATTGGAACTAGGTCGTAAAACTATATAGTAGGGTCACGTTCTTCAGTTCAAGTCCCTTTAGGGTTCCCTTTATTCTGGTATGACAAAACTTATTGTTGCTTGCTTTTATCACGAAACGTACACTTGTTTTATCGTGAAAGATTTAAAGATTGATTGAACATGGAAGAAATGGAAAAGGAAAAAAGAAATTAGGGGAACATTTTTAGGGAATTATTTTACTTAAGAATAAATGCTAAGCTAAAGTAAATTTATCAATTTTTAGAACATTAAGTTGACAAGTAGAATTTGAATAAAAATAACAAATATAGAGTAGGACAATCGAGGTCTTCTAAATCTCGGTTATCCGTCGTCTTATGTTTAAATTTAGTAACAAACTACTTTATTAGTTTATTCCCAAATCACTTTGATTAATCAAAATTCGATTATATTTTAAAATTGAACTGAACTTATCATTAGTTTATGTATACCTTTATGGATAACTTATGTGTATTTTATCATTTCAATATTTGGCAAATCATTATAATAGCAAATTCGTTTTACCTAATATTTAATCCATATTTCGTTCATTAACAAAAATAGTAAAAATAAATAAATATTTTCCATTTATAACAATGAATGTTATTCGTGCATAATTCTTCTCAGTTATGTAAAAATAATATTTGATTCATTTTCTCAAAGATATAATTTGTTAACATATAAATTAAATGCTATTTAATTTAAAGTTTTTCTAAATTTCATATTTTATAGGTTGTGAAAATAAACGACAAATTATTTATCTAGGATAGCTTGTATATAATATATAAATCGTATTTTTCAACGCGTGAATTCGAAAGGAACGATTTTGCTTTCAAAATTGTTTTTACTAATGAACTTGATTCGTTTTAAAAAACTATAATTCCATTTTAATAATTACACGTATATCCAATGTTTTTAAAATTTTTTTTTTGTTAATCTTTTTATTATTTATTTTGTTTCAGAATCATGAGTATAGTGGATATGGAGATGAGCCACGGCGTAAAAGGTATGATCCTTTTTTTTTATATTTATAGATACACTTTTAGATTTATTTATAGATGCATTATTATTATTATTATTATTATTATTATTATTATATATTAATATAAATTAGATATTATTAAATAATAATAACTTAGGATAGTTATAATTTTTTATTATTAATTTTGTTTATTATAGAATATTAAATTGTGTTGTTATTTTATAAGTTTACTTTTGCAAAATATTCTTTTTTTTTTTGGAAAGTGAAAAAAAAACTACTGGTATAATAAATAGACTTCACTAACTGCACGAGACGTTTTTAGTAAATCTTTAATTTTAGATTGTTTCTTTTAATTTATAAATTTTTTTTGATAAAAATGTTTTAATTATATGTATTAGTCGACTTTGATCATTTTAAATATTGTTTATAATAATTTTATATTTAATATTTTTATACATTCGATTATAAATGTTTTTTTATAATACAATAAGGAAATTTATCCGTTTAATTAAGGAGTAACACCACTATAGAGCCTGAAAAAAAGCTTTTTTTTTGGAATCTTTTTTGCGAAAACTAAATGAGCAATAGTATTTCTTTTTTGAGGGTTGGTTAATCATATATTGAACTATGTAAACAAATATTTTTATTGATTTTAGATAGAAAATGGCGTCGGTATTCGTGACTGAACAAAACCCCGTTTTTTTTTTTTTTTTTTTTTTTTACTAAAACGGGCGGACTCATACYTGGACAACTAWGAGACCTAGAATAAAAAACAAAAGAAATTCTTTATCTATGTACTATTATCTTGAGAAGTACATACGGATTTTTCTCTAAGTCAAATTTTGTGAAAATGGCGCAACTTTGAATAAAAAAATCGACTTTTCGACGAAAAAAAATTTAGAAAATTGTTTATAAAATTAAAAGTTTACATTCAATTAAAAATCGGATATGTACTTCTGTAGAAAATACAACTATCAAACTATCTTCAAAATTTTTTTTTTGCTTCGGGACCATGTTCATAATGTTTTTATGTGTTTAAAGTACACTTTAGGCTGAAAAAAAACGATTTTTTGAAAATTCTATAGTGGTGTTATTCCTTAATATATTTTTTTCGATTGAGATTAATAATTATTTTGTTCTTTTTTAAGTTATATACAAAATTATATACAGTTTATGAATGATAATAAATTGATCGTAGGTTAGTATTTTATAACGCGACCTATGTATCAAAAGTTCGATTAATTCAAGAACTATTCTTTGTTCCATAATCAATTCTACTCATGCACGAGCAAATATTATTTCTATTCTGATTTTCTTTCTTTCTTTTTCTCTCTCTCTCCCTCTCTTATACTTTTCAGAATTGATTTGTAAAGTTCCACGTTATACGTCACTTCAATTATGTCATCGTTTTACCGAATGTAGTTATCACATTGATTATCAGTTGCTTGGTAAATTGTCTCGTTAATGGAGTATTGTTTTTATGAATCGATTCGTATGTTTTCAAAGCTTTTCGTATATATCTTCCAAATATTATAAAATATGCCTACATATATATATATATCTTTCTTCAAATACTTTATCCATTGTTTATAATAGGGAGAATAGCTTTTTTTTTTTTACAAAGCTATTTCAATTTCAAGAATGTGCGTAATATTGCAATTTTGGTCGTCAGGGATAAAATTTTTGAACGGGTCAGCAACTTTAGGTATATTTAGGATCGATCATAAACCAGACGAATGAAATTAACGAAGAACTTAAGAAAAGAATCAATTTAGCCAATGCATGCTTTTATGCGGTCAATAAATTACTCAGCTCGCGGTTGCTGTCTAGGCGCTTAAAAATCAGGATATACAGGACAATCATCCTACTGGTAGTCTTTTATAGTAGCGAACGTTCTTCGTAAAATATTCGGTGCAAAACGCGATGAGGAAACGGGCGAATGGAGAAAACTCCATAACGTAGAAGTACACTGATTGTACAACAAACTGGACATCATTCATTAACATCGTAAAATCACACCGATAAAGATGGGCAGGTCACGCAGTGCGCACAGGTGAAGATCGAATGGGTCATAAAATTCTGGTCGGTATGCCGAACGGAAAAAGACCACTAGGTAAACCGAGACGTAGATGGGAGAACAATATTAGGAGAGATCTTAACACATTTGCATCATTGCGCGGAATATTCCATGAGTCGCGAATGTCTACTATCACCAAGAGCGGAATAATCCGCGAACCCGGGACTGTTCACTATCACCGAGCGCGGAATAATCCGCATAAGAAGCATTGGTTTTACTACCTGTGAGCATTTGACCGGTGATACCGGTCATTCGTAAGTTTTATGTCTCGGATGTTTGAGCAAGGAAGACTAATTCTAGTCATGTAAGATTCGTGAAAAAAAACTGGACCGCTGGACTGACTGGATCGGGACTCGAACCATGGATCTTTCGCTTTCCGGGCGATTGGTCTTTAACCAATTGAGCTATCTAGGGCCCACCGACCAGTTCCCTTCCACGAATGCTTATCAAGTTTGGCATGGAGGCGTTCGTCCCACAGTCATGATGCAAATGGGTTAAAGAAATAGGCTATGAAGACCGCGAATGGAGGCGTCGCGCTTAGGGACGGGAAGGGTAAGTTCACATTGGACGCTCAGCGGTTGTGTTGAGCGCGCATTGGTCGCCGTACACATCGCGCTTAGCATGGCGTTCGACGTGCGTTAGTAAAGCGAATATACGTGGCTCATTTCGGAAATGGACATCGAAGTGTTTTTGCTTGTGTGTGTCAAACAAAAACAAAATCACGTGATCAAATGTACAACTTAATGGCGCTTCATGTATCTCGAAGTGCGCAGCTGACGCTTGCTCAACGCGCGTTCGAACGAAAAAATGTGAACGCGCGTTTGACCCGGAGCGCGCGCTTGCATGCGTACACTTCAATAGAACTCCTGGTTTTCCAAACGCGCGTTAGCAAAGCAAAGCGTTAGCAATGTAAACTTAGCCGAAAACTGGCGGGATTTTGTATTTTCGGCAATGAACTTTCGAGTTCCTAATGTCAATTAATAATAATTTCAATTTCAAAGATTTTTTATTATGGCTTTAACTCTTTGCTGTCCTATGTCGAGTGTGGCTCGACATAGCTTTGTTTTCTGGCGCGTAGTGCATCAAGTTTCATCCGATTATCATAATCTTAATTTAAATAAGATAAGATAAGAGTTACATTGTTGCAAGTCTGAAATTTCCCATGAATTTTGAATTTAATGGCTTAGTTTTAGTTTTTTCAAATCCACTGTGACGTACAGTTTAAAATCCTAGCACAACTAAAAAGCGTTTTTAACCACTTGCTCTACAAAGACGTGCCACGAACGTCGAGATGCTTTTGTTTCAAAACTGCGAGCGACGTATACACCACGTCGATAGGCGTTCATTGCAAAAATGAAAATGAAATTGTCTACACGTCGCGTAACAACGCACTCGCAGAGACATGGAGCGTAAATGTGACACTTTAGCGTTTGTTACATGTAGCGCATGGCACCGCAACCGTGAAGTTAAATCGTAAGGCAAATGGTTAAATCTTACATTTCTCTAAAATAATTGTTTTTTATAAAGAAGAACAGTGCGTGATAATGAATTCGAAAGTGATGATAGTGATTTTTTGGGCGACATAGAAGAACAATTTCAAAGAATTAAACGGTATCATACAATGGTTAATTATAAGCTGAAAACAATACAAAATAATGTTTAAACAATTTTACAATTTTATTTTATTTTATATATTTATTAATTCATAAGTACGTTACGTTAGTAAGGTCATGAATGATTTCCAAAGTAAACGCTAACAAGTGGACTTGCTGGAACGCATTCGTGTATTTGGATCTACTAGAACGAAACGGTGAAGAGTCTCACTCAGATCGCAAAGAGTTAACACGTTGAGCGCCACGTCAGCCATCGGTGGCTGACACTAGACTTTCCGTTTAGGCCGCGTCCGTCACGGGTGACTGACACGTTCAATTATTTTTTCAATACAAAGTAACGCCTGTGGCCTGACGGAAATTTCCCTAAGAATTCGCGTGGCGCTTAACGTGTTAACCTTTTAGCCACTACGCGCCACTATAGTAGCTTTCGCGGATAACATCTTTTAACCCTTTCTCTACGGCAGGCTTCGCCGCGAAACTGATTTATGCTTATATTACATTTGTTCAAATTAAATTAAAAACAAATTAAAAAGTGAGCCAAATTTCATCGATATTCGATATGCGTAACAACAAAAATATCGCGGGGCTGAAGGTTAAACGATATCACGCTGTCGAATTTTATAGCCGAAGCTCGTACAAATATGTCGTCAGTCGGATGTCGTCTATAGTCGACGCACGTAGCGAAAGGGTTAAAATATATTATACCTAATTTTATTAATAATTATTGAAGTAAAGTGTCTAAGTTAAAGTATATGCGTATCATTTCTTTGAGGAAAATTATAATTTAATTATAAAAAACTTCAATAACATGTTGAGCGCCACGTCAGCCATCGGTCGGCTGACACTAGACTTTCCATTTAGGCCGCGTCTGTCACATGTGACTGACACATTCAACTATTTCAATAAAAAGTAACGCCTATGGCCTGACAGGAATTTCCTTAAGAATTCGCGTGGCGCTCAACTTGTTAAAGTGTACTCGCGTAGAAAACAGCCATTGTTCATCAGACATCGTAGTTTCATCAGTTACACGTTATTCTCGTTGAACCCTGTTGTACAGAAAAGCAGCTTAGCGTAACATGCAGCAGTGCTTAAGAGGTTAAGGACACTTGAAATTAGAAAAATTAATTTTTACTTATACTAAAGTTATCGAATACTTTAATGTTTAATTATTGCAATAATTAAAATACATTTTTTTTCTAGCAATAAATAACATTCGCCTACGATAAAAATCTGACTATAATTTGTTTTAAAATTGTAAAAAGAAAAAGAAATAAATGTGTAGGGTCTATCTTCTGTAATATATTTAAAAAAAAATAAAGAACTTGATTAGATTATACAAGAGCATCAATTGTTCTCGGTATAAATTTGATTAATATTTCACGAACGTGTTGAGAAAAAGTAAACGGAGCAGAGAAAAGTTAGCCAAGGAAAAAAATAATAGGGGGAAAAAGGGAAAATAAAAGGGTTTCCCTTATTTACGTCGGAAGGACGTACCTTCTTCCTTCTTTCTTTTTTTTTTTTTTGTTTAAAATTTTACCAAGGTAAATTTCTCAAGCGTTAACAGTAGACAGTCTTAGAATTAATGGAGATGCGATTCATCAAATTTCCTTGATTCACCGCTATAACTCGCGCGCGTAGTAACTTAAAATATTTTAGAGAAAGAAATAGTAGATGAGAGGGTGGAGAAAAATAAGGGTAGAGAAGGGATAACAAGGGCGAGAAAACATAATTTACGTTTTGCGTAATTGCCACATCCTAGAAAAGAGCATAATTGCTTTTGAAATATTTTCATAACGTAGAGAAGAAAAATTGTTCGAAAAAGTTAACGAAAAGTTCCGAGTATATTTGTTGTAACATTTGAAATTCTTTATTAAAAAGAACAAATGTATTTATTAAAAGAACGAATTTATTTACTCATTTCTTTTAAGCTTGAAAGTTGCTCTTTATGTGAAATATAAATAACAATTATCAATAATATGACTTATTTAATTATGTGTAAATTGTTATTCTCTTTTTGACTAAATGTAGTAATTGGGCCCTTTATTTTGAATGTGGTCTAGGTCTATTTATGTTCGAATCGATATATTGAAGGACTTACGTTAGATTAAATTTAAAAATATAGATAACAGATGACATATAGTAGAATAATGTTTCTCTGTTTCTAAAGGTGTCAGATTTATCATCCCAATTAGCATAATTAACATTATTTAAGAAATAATATGTTTTTGATGGCTATGATTAGACTTAGGGCACTTGGAAAATCAATGAAATGACATTTTTAATTTTTAAGAAAGCATAAGTCTATAGGAAAAGTAAGTTTTCCTTGGAATAAAAATAAATGTATACATGTTTATGTTGTAAAAACAAAAAAGTATTCAAATTGGATTCATTGTTAAATAATTTTTATACAAAAATTAGTATTGTTTTATTAATTACTAGCATCCAGTCAATTTTTGAAGAAGATGGGATTTCGGTTTATTTTATGTTATTTTAATTGTTTTTTTTTTTTATTACAGAAAACATCAATAAATAGCATCTCTTAAAAAAATTGCAAAGAAAATAAACGGGTGTTATTAAACGTATGTGCTACAAAAACCAAATTTAGTGCACTTGAACGTGTTTTATTAAACTTTGGTGTGCTAAATGCTTCCTTTTAAATTTCGTTCTTTTCTCAAAAATAGAAATTAAAAAGTATAGAAAAAAATAAAATTGAACTTTTATATATATAGATAGATAGGTAGATTATTGAGTTTTCTCCAATTTGTGTATGCGAGAGGAATTTAAAAAAACTATGATGGTCAGGTGGTATAATAAATCCATGAAGTTCTTGCATTTCAGGTTTGTAAATGGTCTCGTTTTTTGTATTGTAAAGCAAACTTGATATTATTAATATTATTTGGGAAATAATATGTTTTTGATGGCTATAATTGGATTTACGCTACTTTTAAATTAAACATTTTTATTACTTCATTAACCAGCAAATTTTACGTGTTACCAAATTTTAATGAATTTAAATATATTAGTAATAAATTGATTCGGAATGAAAAGATCATGTAAAAATGTAACTATTGTGTTAGTTAACTCAATTTTTGTGGAAAATGGACTTAAGCTACAACAAAATAAACAGCTTAATTATATAATTTAAGAAAAATTGTAGTATTACTTATTTTATATTTATTAATAATAATTATTTTTAAAAATAGTTTTTACAGTTGTAAAAATATAAATTTATATGTATATATACATTCGAACCTTTTGAAAATTGTTAAAACAAAAACTCTTTTTTTTTTCCTATCAAAATCGTATAAAATAAAACTGAAGGAAACATTTGTGTTCTATGAGAATTGTTCAAGTTTATTAAAATGTGCAATATGCAAATCATGTTAGAGGAATATTGTGTTATAGGTAGACTGACGCAATTTTCGCACCATGTTATATAAACTCTATGTATTTCGAATATCGAGTTATAAAAAGATTATGTGAGTGTGAGTTTATATGTGTTATATAATAAATATAAACAAAAAATTGACTATTTATATGAAGATTGGATAAACAATTTTTTCGGTCAAAAGTTATTTTGTTTCTTTTTTTCTGAATTTTTATTTATAGAATATGGTGGTACAATTTTGTAGAAAAAATTTTTGGGAAAGACCATGTACAGTTGGTGTAGAAAGTATTCGTACACCGATCAATTTGAAATAAAATGTTTTGAAATTATATTTCAATTTCATGTTTTTTAAATGATGAATTTATACATATTCTTGAAAGTCTCTACAATAGGTGTAATGAAGCAAAACATTATCTTTTTGAATGAATTATAAAATTGACAAGGTAAACGAAAACATACGAGAATATTTTCAAGAAAATTCATATATAAATTATAATGTAAACACATCATGTGTGATTGCTTTCTAGTTATAATTGACCTCGTCAGTATGTTTGTAAACGTTATCGGTATTGGTGAAGTTCAAAATTTTTGAAGATAGAAAGTAATTGTTTGAAAATGGGATGAAAATGTGTAGAAACAACGATAGAAGAAAGAAAAATTATTATTAATTTACGTAATCAATTTAAAAGTTTATTAGAAATATCGCGAATTATAAACAGACCTCGATCTCCTATATAAAGTATCATTGATAGGTATGAATTAAGAAAGAATCTGCAAAATAACTCAATAAATGGTCGTCTATGGAAAAATAATCAGTTCACTAGACAAGTTATCACAAGAATGGTAAAACAGAATCCCAAGATAAGTGCTACAAAAATAGTGGAACATCTTAAAAATAATTTAAATATTGATATATCCACTAGAACTGTACGTAATTTTTTGCGAAATGAAGGATATCATGGTCATACCAACACTAGTTGCACTCATGCAGTCCCAAACAAGTACAGAACCTCCACCGTGTTTCACTGTGGATCGCAAGTTTTCTGGTTGCAGCTCTTCATTTTTTTTCTTCCATACAGTGCAATGTCCATCAGATTCAAAAATATTAAATTTACGTTTGTCTGTAAAAATAACTCGATTCCAGTACTCTACATTGGTCTTTTAATACTAGATATACCAGACCAGTCATTTCGACTAGTCGGGCCATTTTAATTTAAAATTTCTACTTCATGTAACATTTGATTTCTGTAAATAATAAAGCGTTTTTTATTTAAAAATGTCTATAAATCCATTTATCTATTAAAATTATTATTGTTAAACATTTTTTTGTTATTTTTTAAGAATAAATAAAGACTGGAAGCCTCAAAAAACATTTTTTTTACACACCAGTCTTTTTGACTGGTATGGTAGAAATAGGTATACTGAAAATGGTGGTATATCTAGTGTTAATGTTATTATTTGCGAATTCCAATCTTTTCTTCTTATTCATTTACTAAAATTGATCGGTGTACGAATACTTTCTATATTCATTGTATATGCGTATAGAAAAGTTTTTGACTGACAAATTTCAATGGAATATATTTAATCAAAAACAAGGTATGGTAATCGAGTAGAATAGTTATCTATAGAAGTAAAACAACTTTGGATCGCGTGATAGGTCTCTTTGTTTCTCTCTCTTTCTCTCTCTTGGAGGAAATCGATAAGTGAAGGGACGTTCGTGTCGTTATCGAGAATCGCTAGAGGTTGTAGTTGGTGTGTCGTTTGGATGCGGCTGCACGTTCTCTTTGGTATATCATCTTGGCGTTGATTTGTTGCTTTCACTTTGTTCTCATTCACAAAACTGGGAACTATCTTATCTATTTTATCTGAACGTTTATCGAAAATACATCCCAAGCCATTTGTTATTGTATTTATTATGAAAAGCTTTCTCTCCTGAATTTATTTCCTTACGTTTAGCCATTAAACTATTTTTATTCAAATAACTTTTATCACACCTGTTAACCGATATCAATATATTCTTATATTCATGTACGTATACATACATATAAATAATGATTTAATATTATTTTCTTTTTAGAGAGGATAATAATAAGCCGAATCACGTTCTCCTATTTACAATCATCAATCCAGTGTATCCTATTACTGTGGTAAGTAATAATAATATTCAATCATTACAAAAAAAAATATATTCATCGTAAAGAGGTCACATTCTGATTATCAGTTTTTGACAAGAGTATTTTCTTGAATTCTTTTTTTTTTTTTAATGAAAAATAATGCATATTACATTAATTTTATAAAAAAGAATTTTGCTTTCATTACTAATTAAAAACTGTTCGAATAAATTTTTGTATTACAATACACTACGTAGTAGAATCGATGTATTCTATTAGATTATCGATTGTTAAAAATTTGTTACCAGAACAATTTCTAAAAAAAAAAAAAAAAGAAAAAAAAGGTATTTTAATCGGGTTTAACTAGGTCTTGTTGCAAATTTATCGAATTAAAAGCGATTTTTTAACGCTTCAAATGGCAACATCAAAAACAAACAAAACAAGGGTTGTTAAAAGGTGTGCCCTGCAGTTTTATAAAGTGAATCCTTTGAAATGTGCATTTTGAAAGAGAAATAACGTGTTGTTGGTACGTGAGAAAAGGGCATAAGCGTTAGAATGTGTTTACACATTGTTAAAGAAGGAAAAGATGATCAATAAATTCTCAAATGTCTGACTGTATAAAAAAAATCTATTTATTATTCCATTATAATCAGAAGAATATATACTATGTTGTATCAAATAGTATTATTGATATAAGCGAAGTAAACAGAATTTGCTCCGGGTGTATTGTATATTTATTCGATTTATTTCCGATTTCTATCTTCAATTATCCTACAATTTTTATGACAAGACAAATACGTCCTGTTGATTTTCCTAGCTCTTTTAAAAGCTTTCAACTTTTACTTCTATATTTTTTTTTCTTTTCTTTTCGTATTTGCACATATTACTTTTATCAATTTCTGTTGGAAATAGGTTTCATGAAATTTTAACGTAATTCTTATTTCGTTTATTTTTTTCGAACCTTGGAATTTATGAGATCAGAGATAACTAAACATATACTCTTTTTTTATGTACAATGCTTGTAAAAACAGCAATAATAATAATAATAACAACGATAATAATAATGGTGATATTAGCGATAATGATAAAATTCTGAAATTCAGTCAAACATAAAATAAAATGTTTTTTCATTTTATTTGAACAAACTCGTGTATTGGAGATAATAATCAAAAGGACTCTGAGAGATATTGGAAGTAAAAATAAAAAAAAAAAATAAAAAAAAAAAAAAATAATAATAATCACATGAGAAAATTAATAGAACGATGACGAAGAAAATATTATAACAATGATAATAATGTTTGATATATTTTTGTTCTTTTCATTTTTTATTTTATTTTATTGATCTTTTTTTATTCATTTAGTGAGTTGATTCGTGATTAAAAAAAAAAAAAATATTTAACGAAGAAGAATATCAAGCAAAAAATGCACAGAATTTAGTTCTAACTGAAAATCTAATAGAAACAGACGAAGTAAAATAAATGCAAGAACAATATGACAAAATTATAGATAACAGATATATAACAGATAGTACAGAAAATAAAATCCCTTATCGTATTTTGACGAACCTGATTCGTGATCACAATTTCGTACGAAACGTGAATATCGTTAAACCAACTCGTGGTTTTAATTTCGGGTTAGATATCGATTTTGAATAAAATATATTTTATTGTTCTTTTTTCTGGAACACTGATAATTTAATTAATTACTTTAAACAATGCTTCTTCACAACTTTGGTTCTCTTTTCGAGTATTTTTGATAGCTATTTGGGCCGGAAGTTTTCTGACAATGAGTAAAATGATACAGTTAATATGATATAGTTAAATGATAAGAAAAAAAAAGAGAAAAAATATTAGAGAAAGAAATGACCAATCGATGATTGCGAAATTCAGATGCGGAAACGAAGAACGCGTTAAATGGATTATTGGAAGGAAATGGGAGGGGAAAATCTATGCAGATAACATAGATTTGTAGAAGTAACGTTAGAATGTATGATAAGTAAATGCAAATAATCGGACATAGTACAAAATTTAACTAGCTGGAAAAGGTGTTTCAATAATAAGGAAAAAGTAGGGATGAAAAATGAATGAGGAAAATGCTCCGAGAGAATAGAACTAAATAGTAGAAGACAAATCAAATAAATAAATACAAATTCAAATAAATTTCAATTTAATTATAGATTGTATATAACGATTATAGAATAGTTTATATTCACGTAATGTTCACGTGATCAAAACTATAAACAAACACACGTGTCATATCTCTTTTCAAAATTGAAATTCAAGAAAATAAATATACATACTTATATAAATAAATTTCATTCGTAACAAAGTTGCTATTTATATTATTGTGAGACGAGAGTTTGAAGTTGTGTTGTTGAAATCTTTTCTAAACGATATTGTTTTCTGTATCGATGTAATAATTTAATGCATTTTAAACAGTTGGATAATATTTCGTTTGTTAAAGTAATCAGCGTCAGGGAAGACACTATCTTCCTCTATTCACATAAGTTTATTACGATTCAACCATATCGTTCTAAGTAATTTTCCTGGTACATACTTGACTGTGTTAGCTCGTACTTTTAGTCTGACAAATGTGTCCGCCGAGCAAATAATGACCCACTCTAAATCCTGTCCGTCCAAACGGCTACCGTTTACACCATTCCCAAATGATGATCTTCATTATGGTAACTACCGAATTATTATCATACACTTTAAGAGATGTTACTAAATGATCATCTCTTTTCATCTATAATTTGTCTATCGTTCGTGTTCGAATTCCAAACAATTTTCACTCACTCTCTCTTTCTCTCTCTCTTTCTCTTTACCTACGTTGCTCGAATTCTAAATTTAATTTATCCAAAATTTAAAATTATTTCGTTTATTATAATTAAGGTGAAGCCACCATTGGTCGACCGGTTAAGAGAAATTTTTATCTTAGCACATTCCGTGCCATGTGTATCACCGATGGTACACTTATTATTTGACATATTTATTTAATACGCTTAAAATGTATGTTTATAACAAATTTAAAATATTCCTAATTAAAATATTAATGCATTATGCAAAATGCAGTATAGAACAAAGCACATAAGTTTGTTTAATTGTTATAGTTACAGTAATTAATAATTACATGTATTGGTTGGATTTTGTTAAAGCAAAATTACATGGCCTGAGTGACAAGTTAAGTAAAAAGGGCGTGGCACGGAACGTGTTAAATAGTGGTAACTTCTTGCATTTTTATTGAATAGTAGGTCCTAATGCGAAAAGATATTCTATGAACTTCGGACGTCATATAACAAAGGATATTTTTCGAAAAAAGTTGTGTTACACGAATATAATAAACATTAATGAAAAGTCAATCACTGCATAAGTAGTTGACAATTATGAAATTGGAGAAACCAGCAATTGACAATTTTTTCGTTAGTAGTTGATTACTTATACTAGACCCAAAATTAATAAAAGCAATCATTTTAATATCATTTATTTACATCAATTAGAAAAAATAACAACTAAATGATCAAATACAAATGAATAGAAGTTAATTTCTGAAAGTTAATGAAAAAAAAAGTTAACTACAATTCCATATTAAATCTAATTCAGGTATAGAGTAAATATTTCGCGTTTTGCCCATTTTGATAGGCTCATTAATATGAAAAAGTATATTTTCCCATTTGTAATGTAATAATACGTCAAGAGTTTCTGGCCATTTCCACAATCGCCCACGCTTTTGCATAGAAGATATAGTCGCTTTAGTGTCAGTAACAGAAAGGATCTTTTCAGGAAAACATTCACCTTCATATAAAAATATTACATTTTTTTTAACATCTTTTTTAACGCAAAGCCATTTATTCTTGTCCAATATTTATCTTCTTCCCAATGTGTGTCAACTTCTAGAAAACTTCAAATAATACGATACAGTAGTTGACCCCTCGGTTAGTTAAGTTTTTGATATTGGAATGCGAAAAACAATGTGTTTAATGAATAAGAAATTTAATGGCAATTAAAATAGTGAAAATTTCAGGCATAAACAGTCAAAAGTAAGGAAATTATTTATTCTCAATTACGCACGCCTTCTTAACCCCTTGAGTACTGAATTATTTGAAGAATTTTATGCATATATAACGCATTTAATTTGTTGCTATATAGATGAATATGTAAAAGTAATACATTTTTTTTTGGAATACATTTATATTGGTGATATAAATATATTTTTGCAAAAACATTTCAATTAGAAAATATAAGAAAATATATAAATAAAACAAAATAGAAATATTTATATATTTATGTATTGGGTTGACAAGAAAATAATTTCGGCTTGCACAAATAGATAAAGTTATGTTTGTTTCGTTATTCTTTTGTTAATGTTAGAATTTTTTTCTTTTGAGGTTTGGTAGTTAACACTTTTAGATTGTTTTAGAAACAAAATTCGTATAATTTTGTTTACAACTGTTATTTTTGAAACAATTGAGTTTTATTTCACACTAGAAAACCAAAATTACTTTCTTGCCAACCCAATATTTATATAAGCTTTTTAAATTCAGATAACGAGCCAGACTCGTTCACCGTAACTTCGCCCAAGTAAGCAGATGACGAATCTCACTCATCAAATATACCCAAAGGGTTAACGAAAGCATTAAGAAAGTTACAGTGTGGAGGAATACGACTGTCGTTACTGATATATATATATATATATATATATATATATATATATATATATATATATATATATATATATAATATCAGTAGATGATTTAGTTCATCTATCGTATTTGTTTCCAAATGCCAATACTTAAAGAAAGCTTATTTTTCACATTTTAGTGAAAAATGGCCAATTTCTGGCACATGATCAACGACTCGTGCCTTCACCCCACTTTCAAATTGTTTGCATATTTCTGCTACAATAACTCGATTAACACTTTAAGGACCGCTCACGAGTTTTCTGGTATTGCTTGTCCCGTCTGTTACGGATTGATCACGAGGTAACCCGTGTTTTTTTAATGAAATGACATATCCATCTTAATTTTATAATCTTTTCGA